ACTTAGCCCACCCCTGAAGGCAGATGTGAATATGAATGGGTTAAAAGGAACACACTTTGCACCTGTCAATTAAGTTCACTAGATTGTTGTGTGACAAGATGCCCATGGTGCCCAGAAACATGCTGACCTGAGCTAGACTAGAGAGTTTCAGCTGTCCTTTAAAACTAACCTAAGGGAAAGAATGCTTCCCCTCTGTGGCTAGTTGTTGGGGGAACTCTCTTGGAATGTCCATGACAGCAGGTGCAGGGCCCATCTATAGGCTCAGCCAATTGGGTTGTACTGAGCAAGTTGAGAGAACTCCATGTACTCCAGTTGGCTGGTTATTTTTAGGAAGTTCCTACAAGTGGCAAAAGGTCTGAGGAATAAGCAAAGAGGCCACTGAGAGGAGCAAAGTAGGGTGTGAGAGGACATGGACACAATTAAAGTGGACTAGTGAGTGAGCATAAAAATTTCTGGAGGCAGTGACTGTTATAACCACTGAGAAATGCTCCTGCAGAACTGGGTTTTATTTCCTTGTTTGTTTGAAACAAACAAACAAAAAACTGCCAGGAAAGAGAGAGTCCAAAAGGAAAGGAGGTTAGGAGAAAATGTTAACAGAATATTGAGCACAGAAAGAAAATTCAGAATGTGCTGAAATAGTCAAGGATGTGCCAGGAGAGATAAATATCGAGAGAAAATTTGTCTTGGGGTGGGGGCAAAAAAAAGGAGGGACTAGATACAATAGGACAAGTAAAAATTCACTGATAGCTTAGTATCTGTCTCTTAAAGGTCTCTGTACCAATTCATTCCTACTACTTGGACACCATTTTAAGACTATCTTATCAATCCAGTGAATGTCATTATGGACATCTTTTAAACTTATTAACGAAAAACTCACCTTGGTTGTAAAATTATGGCAGTTGGTGTTGTATAGTGGGAGTTAAACGACTTTGGTTCTAGTTTCCAATCTGCTGCTTGATTGGCTGTGAGATTTTGGCTAAATCACTTAACCTCTCTGTCCTCCAGTTCATCCCTTCCAGCTCTAGCACTCTATGCTCTTATCAGGACCAAACATAAGTGGCCTCAGGGACCAACAAATGAGTTACTGCCCTGCTAGAGACAGGCAGAAAGGTCTGACTGTGCCAGGGGGTCTGAAAGTGACAGGAGTATGGCTGGCCTCATTTAATCAGAGATTAGGGGCTGAGTGTTCTTAGAGTGCCAGCCACCACTTCGTGTCAAGTGTTACAGGTGTTGTTTCCCATTCATTCAAAAGAAGACAGTTCATGAAAAAATGAACAAGAGAAATGCTTCGGGAAAACAACAGGCCTTCTTTCTGTACCTGTGTTTCTGTGAAGGAACTTGGCTGATGGCTTTTGGAAGGAGGCAGGCAAGAGAGCTCCCCATCTCAATTAACCTCTATCTGTTGCTATAAAGGATCCCAAATTCAATGACAGGAGAAATTCTAGCTGTTCCTTTCTTTCTCTGGGGGAGAAGCCATGAAGATTATATGTTTCAGTGTTATTCTTTTTGATCTGTTTATTATTGAATTAAACACAGCACAAGGTCAAGGCTATCTTCAACGTATTCAGATGGCCTTAAACAGGACTGTCATCATCAACTAATCATATCCATGCACTCACCATGGCATACTACACAGAGAAGTCAATAACAATAGCTCACATTCATATAGCACTTTAAGGTTTGCAAAGTGCTTGGTAAATATTATCTCACTGTCAATCCTGGGAGGTAGGTGCTATTATTACCCTTATTTTACAGATGAGAAAACTGAGACAGACAGAGGACAAATGACTTACCCAGTGTCATGACTAGTAAATGTTTGAGGCTCAGTTTGAATTTGTGCCTTCCTGACTCCTGGTCCAATGTTCTAGCTCTGCACCATCCAGCTGTCCCTAGAAGGTTTAAAGATCTCTTGGAAGTTTAAAATCTGAAACGGATAATCTTGATCTAGAGACATGCATATACAAAAAGGACATTTACAAAAGAACTGTTCCAAAAGCTGTGAAAGCAACCATGAGAACCAATACAACCCCTCAAGCCCTCAGCTCCCTCACTTGCAATAATGGTAGCTCACTTTATATAGTACAGTTTGTGGAACCTTCCTTCTATTAGCAAATGTGGGCACATTATATCCATCAGCACACAATCCTATGAGGTGGATAGTGAAGGTATCATTAGCCTCTTTTTGCAGATGAGGAAATTGAGGCTCAGAGAGGTTAAATAAGTTGGCTAAGATCACACAGTAAGAGTGGCAGAATCAGGCCTCGAACCCAGGTTGTCTGATTTCCAATACAACATTCTTTTTGCTAAACCATTCTGTTAGGCTATGTGACCACTGATGTTCTTCCTAGCATTAACATGCTATGATTCTACTCTTCAGAAAGAAAGTAAATATTTATACCCTATTCAGCATCCAGACTTCTATGATAAGGAGTACATAAGTGGTTGTTTTGAGGACAGTAGCCTCTTCACTTTTACTGAGTCAAAGAAAGTTTCCTGGGAGACATAACATCTGTAAGATGAGAAGTGAGGATGCATGTTCTAAATTTAAAGCATGGAAAACCAGAAAGCTGAATTAAGAATTCTAGTATAAGCATTGCAGCAATAATCAGTGAAGAAGGCAGTACAGAGAGAGGAGGCAGGAAGGCATAGATAGATAGATAGATAGATAGATAGATAGATAGATAGATAGATAGATAGATGGATGGATGGATGCCAGGGAAACCTAGCAAAAGGTCTTTTAGCAGAAGATGAAAGTACAAAAATGACTCAACTTCAAATCCCAAAATAATTTAATAGAGACTCAGAAAACACACAAATGTACATCTGTATATATGGATCATGCATGTGTTAATATCAATCATATAGAAATATCCCCTATGTAGCCTTAGAAAACTGTCAATACAGCAAGGGTACTGCTCATATGGCATTGTAAGATGGTGTTCTCCCACCTTGTCCACTGGTTTCATGGATGGTTCTCATCTAGCATTCTCATGCAACTGCCCCTTAGACCTTATCCATTTGTTGACAGGCTTACTCTCATGACAGTGGAATATCCTTACTAGAGAAACACTAGTCAGTTTAGTGGACTCCCAATGATAGGCCCCGTCCAATCAAGGAGGAGGGGTGGAATTTCCTCAATGAGCAAATTAATAGTTAAATGTTACAAGTTAAAAAAGTAGTAGAATATACAGAATAAACAATGAGCATATTGCAGAACTGTTTTGTTCATCTACCCCTTGCTTATCAGACATGTCAAACATCATCACAACCAAGAACATTATAAAAACACAACAATGTATATTTAGCAATATCAATTAACCCTATATTTCTTTCTTTCTTCTTCTTTCTTTCTCTTTCTTCCTTTCTTCTTTCTTTCTTTCTTTCTTTTCTCTTTCTTCCTTTCTTCTTTCTTTCTTTCTTTCTTTCTCTTTCTTCCTTTCTTCTTTCTTTCTTCCTTTCTTTCTTTCTTTCTTTCTTTCCTTCTTTCTTTCTTTCTTTCTTTCTTTCTTTCTTTCTTTCTTTCTTTCTTTCTTTCTTTCTTTCTTTCTTTCTTTCTTTCTTTCTTTCCCTTTGTCCACATAGGGTATCATACTCTTGCCTGCAGTGTTCTACCCAAAGGATGTAAATTTTGATTGCTGAAACCTCTGGAGTTTAAATACACAATATGAAATGAGCATTCTGACAACAATTGATTATTGAGGACATGGATGCTCTTCCGTCTCTCCCTTTTCTTTCCCATCATCATCATAGACATCTGCAGCAACACTTGCACAGACCTTCTTTGTCTTTTTCCCACATCTTCTACAACAGCGTATACAATCAATTGCATATATATATATATATATATATATATATATATATATATATATATATGTACATGACAATACACAATATCAAACCCAATAAAACCTCACCACCACCTTTGTCAGATACAGAGCATCACCACAGTCATCTAAAAGATACAAAGATACTATGTTGCTCAAAAAGTATAATTTGCCCTTCCTTTTTCTATTGTATGTCTGTGTGATACTAATCCATGATTACAACATTAATAGTGGTCTGCAGTTCTATCTTAAAAGTCTCCAAATTCATCCCAGGTTATTGACCCTGGAAAGATAACTCATTAGGAATGTTCTGGACTGGTCCTGATTCAGGCCAGTGCCTTGGTAGTTAAAGTTTGATATAAGAACAAAATAAAAGGGCAGCACTCATCTCCAAAAGAATGTCCTGGGGGCAACTGGGTAGCACAGTGGATAGAGCATCAGCCCTGGAGCCTGGAGGCCCTGAGTTCAAATCCAACCTCAGACACTTGACACTTACTAGCTGTATGACCCTGGACAAGTCACTTACCTCCATTGCCTAGAAGGAAAAAAAAAAGAACAAAATAAGGCACTCATAGGCTCATTCAACAGTTAACAAAGGGAGATTGACTGACTTTAGAGGATAAAGATATTCATCAAGGATGTGTATTGAGGATACTTCAAGTTGATTCAGCTGAATGAAACAAACCTGAAGCTCAGATATTGCTTGAGTTGCCCATTGTGGTCTGTTGGCCAAGCACCAGAGTTCCTGAAGCTATTTTGGCTGTTTTTGTACTCAGCTGACCAGGGAAGTGACAACAGCTTAAGCATTTAACCCCCTAAACCAATCAAAGCTACAGGAGAGTTTCAACAGCTTAAAAGGAAAAATTTGACTAACTTGCAGAAGGGGCAGGGATTAGGATATTTCTCCAACTGTGAGAAGGGAATAGAGTCATTTCATAATAATATAGTGCCTTATGAGAGTTAACCTCAAGTATCAGACTGGTGTCTAATACTGAGGAGTTATGCAGCTAATCTTGATTAAGTTAAAAAAAACTACACGAGCATAAAATATTTAATGAAAAAAATTTATTAAGTACTTACAATGTACAAAGCGCTATGCTAAGTTCTGAAAATACAAAGAGAAAAATAAAACAATCCTTGCTTTCAAAGAGTTTACATTCTAATAGAGAAGACAGCACATATAGGAGGTTTTAGCTATAAGTCAGATGGAAAGTCTCCATGGTCATTAGAGTTTAGCAATGAAGCAAATGACAATCTATTTTCTTTCACATTATTTCCACTGATAAAACCGTATTCATTTCTCACATTGAACCATTTAATAGTACCAAGGAATCTGGTGCTAAGAATTTCCTTTTTTTTCTTTTTTCTTTTCTTCTTCTTTTTTCTTCCTTTTTTTTTTTTTTTGGTTTTGTTTGTTTGTTTTCAGTAGTGGTGGCTGCTTGCTGAGAAGACAGGAACTTCAATACCCACCAAAGCAGTAGCCAGAGCACATCTACTCAAGAACTGATTTCCTGGATGATGGCTCTGGGGAGTAATTTAGAAGCAAGGCTGGCAGTCTAGGGTCAGTGGGATACAGGGGGTTTCTGTTCCAGGGGCTCTCAGATTCAGAGTCCTGGGCTATTTCATAATAATTCTTAAGGGGGAGGGCACTACCACAAGCTTCTACCTGCTGACTTCTGCTTCCCTTCCTTTTTCATTCTCCTTCTTCTCCTTCCCACCAACACCGGTTATATAAAACACTATCCCAAATAGCAAGGAAACACATTTATCTAAGTAAACAGCAAATATAAATCAGAGACATTATACAGAATAGAATATATTAGAAAATGAACAAAATCAGACTCTGACTGTCCCTCCACATATCCAGAGCTGATCTAAAGTGTATGGTATCCTATGTGTCCTTTCTTGAAGAAGAACGAATGTCTCTCCAAAGCTCTTAAATCAGTGTTGCCCCTCAGGCAGGCACACAGCATTGTGTCAGCATTCTCTTCACGAATTATAAGAGTCTCAAGCAGAATGTGCTGGGTTGGACTGTAAATTCAGGTTATGCAAGTATATGTGAAGTAGTTCAATACAAAGTAGTATGGGAGGGAGCAGATTAGTAGTTGAAGACGGTGGGTCAGGAAAATTTCATTCAGAAAATGGCTCTTGAGCTACCTCTGAGACAGAGGGAATTTATTCCAGGCCTATAGGATGACAAAGACAAAAAGATGGGAAATGTAGTTGTGTGTGAAAAGAAAAAAACCCACTTGGGCTGGATCTGAGAATGTGGGAGAGAGAATAAGTCCAATGAGACTGGAAAGACAGGTTGCAGTCAGGTTGTGAACAACTTTAAAAACTAAACAAAGGAGTTTGTATTTTATCCTAGAGGCAATGGGAAGCCATTGGAGTTGACAGAGTGAGGAATCCCATGGCCAAATCTGCACTTAAGGAAAATTACTTTTGTATCTCTCAGATATGTCCCGATCTCTTCTCTAACATGGTGACCACCCTGCTGAAGGCCCTCACCATTTCAAGCCTGGACCTTCTGGTTGGGCTCTCTGTCTTGAGTCTCTCTCCAGTCCAGTCCACTCTCTATTCAGTTGTCAAATTGGTCTTCCTAAAGTGCAGGTCTGAAGATGTCATCCCACCCTCCTCCCATTCAATAAACTACCTATCACCTCTAGAATCAAATATAAAATCCTCTGTTTGGCTTTTAAACCCTTCACAACCTGGCCCCTTCCTGCCTTTCCAGTCTTCTTACTTGCTTCACTCCCCTACATGTCCTCTATGATCCAGCAACACTGTTCCTCTCACAAGATGCAGCATCGCCCAACTCAAGGCACTTCTCGGCGATTATCCCCCTCTCTCCTCATCCCTCATCTCTGCCTCCTGGCTTCCTTCAAGTCTCAGATGAACTGCCTCCTTCTGTAAGAAACCATTACTGATTCTCCTTAATTTTAATGTTTTCCTTAGAAGGTTATCATTCATATACACACATGCAAGTATGTCTGCATACATATATGTGTATACATACACACATAAATATAAATGTATATTTAATAATCTTTAATATGTAATATATACTATATATATATGCATATATAGTATATAATCTTTCCTATACATAGTTGTTTATATGATGTCCACCATGTTCTATTGTGGGGTCCTTGAGGTCAGGGACTATTTTCATCTTACATTATATCACCAGAATTTAGCATAGCAGGTGCTTAAGAAATGCTTTGTTGACTTGACTTGACTTGACAGTAGCATATAGGATGAACTGTAATGAATAGTGAATGACTTGAGGCCAGGAGGCCAATTAAAAGACCCTTTCAATAATCTAGACAAGACAGGTGGGAGGCTGTGTAAGTTGAGAGAAAGGGTCAGATGTGAGAGAAGCTGTGAAGGTAGAAGTGACCAGATTTGGCATTTGATTGGATATGTGGAAGAGTAAGGAGGTGAGTAAAATGTGAAGATTATGAACATGGGATACTGGAAGGGATGGTGGTACCTCTGGCAGAAATAGGTAATTTTGGAAGAGAGTTGGGTTTTTTTGTGGGGGGGAGGGGCGGCCGTGACAGAGAAGATAGTAATTTCTGTTTTGGCCAGGTTGAGAACAAGATGACTCTAGGACATCTAATTTTAAATATCCAATAGGCATTTGGCGATCAGGGACTAAAGCTAAGGAGAAAAGACTGGGAATGGAAATATAGAGATGAGGGACATCTACATAGAGATAATAGTTAAATCTATAGGAACTGAGGTTACCAAGAAAGAATAAAGAGAAAGAAGAGAAGAAGACATAAGAACAGAACCTTAGGAAACACCAAAGTTAGAGGTTGTGATATGGATGATATGCTTGAAAAAGACTCTAAGACAGCAATCAGGCAGGCAGGAAGTAAACCAGGAGAGCAATGTCACAAAAACACAGAAAAGAAAGAATATCCAAAAAAATTGTGTCAAATGCAGGAGATAGGCCTAGAAGGAATAGAATTGAGAAAAGACCTTGGGATGAGATCTGTAGTAATTTTGTACAGAACAGTTACAGTTGAGTGATGAGATGGGAAGACATTGCAAAAGGTTGAGGGGTGAGAAGAGAGAAAGTAAGGAAGCTTATGTAGACAGCCTTTTCAAGGAGTTTGGCTGAAAAGGGGAGGAAAGCTACAGGATGATAGCATGAAGAGATGGTAATGGGTAATGTTTAAGAATGAGGAAGATTTGAGCATATTTGAAATTAGTAGAGAAGGAACCAGTTGATAAAAAAAAAAAGGTTGAAAATTCAACAGTGGAATGATTGAGGCTGCAATCTACAGGAAAAAGGGGAGGACATGAGATCAAGTGCATATGTAAAGGAGCTGGTCCTGGGAAAAAGAAGGGTCTCCTCATTTTTTTCCAGAGATTGGAAGAATGGAGAAAAAAGTGGCAGACGATATCAAGGTCAGTAAAAATGGATTTATTAAGTCCTTACTGCATGCCAGGCACTATGAAGTTTCCCAACAATCTCTTAATTGCAAAATCCAATGGCCTCTATCAGTTTTCATACTTCTAAATCCTTCTGAAATCTCTGACACTGTTGGCCATTTTTTCCCCTGGATACCCTCCTCTCCATGTTTACATGGCACTACTCTTTACTGGTTCTCCTCTATCTATCTCACCAGTCCTTGGTCTCTTTCATCATATCATTAGCCATGTCCTTCCCCTTTGTATAGACATTCCCTAAGTAAGACTTTGTCCTGAGTCCTCTTCTCTCCAACATTCTCTCTGGAGATGATCTCATGATCATCTCATTAGCTCACATGCATACAATTATCAGTACTCTGCTGATAATTCCTAAATCTACAGATTACAACTTCACCTTTCTCCTGAATCCAGTAATCACCAAATGCCTGCTAGACATCCACATCTGAATGTGCCATAGGCCCCTCAAACAACATATCTAAGATGGAACTCATCCTGAATCATAATTCCAAACTATTTTGTCATGGCATCCTTCCAATTGCCCAGTTTCTTTGACTCTTCACTTCTCTTCACCTCCAGATCCAATCATTTTGGATCAAATCAGCCTTTTTCTTTTTTCATTTTACCTTCATGTCTCTGACATTCATCCCCTTCTCTCAACTCACATGGCCACCACTCTAGTTCAGGCTCTTTTCACCTCTTATCTGTGCTATTGCAACAGCCTCCAGTCTTTCCCATCTTCAATCCTCCATATATCAGTAAAATGTATATTGCTTAAACAGAGGTCTGACCAAATCAGTCTCCACCTCAAAAAGCAACCCCTGGCTCCTTAGTATCTCTAGGAAAAACACAAGCCCCTCACAGCCTGGTTCCCATCCATCCTTCCAGATGGTTTTCACATTATTCTCCTTCAAACACTACATTCCATGCAAAGCAACTTATTTACTAGTTCTGGGCACTTTATATTCTGTCTTTAACTATGCCTTTGCACAAGCTAAATGCCTAGCACGATCTCTATACTTATATTGACTCTTGGCATCCCCAGCTGTCAAGCCTCATCTCAAGTGCCACCTCCTAATATAAATCTTTCCTGATCAACCACCACCCACTCACATTATTAATGCTCTTCCTACAAAAAATTTACTTTGTATTAATTTTGTATCTAAAGAAGCAGTCTGGTTTAGTGGCTAGAGTAGGCCTTGAGGCCAGGAAGGGATGCAGTCAAGTTCTGTCTCTGACATATATTGGTTATCTTAACCCTAGACAAATCATTTGAACTCTCGGTGTTCTGGACAACTCTCTGAAACTCCAAAATAGTAGAGAAAGTACCAATCTGCATTGGTAATGGAAACTTTCTCATTTGGGAGGTCCCATTACCAGGGAAATCACAGGGCCATTCTCTACCACTCTATTTTGTATTTCATTATCTGGGTACAGGTTGTTTGTTCCCTGGCAATGGAAATTTCTCAAAGGCAGGAACTGCATTTGTTTATGTCTTTTATGTGCCCAGTGCGTTGCACAGAGTTGGGACTTAATAAATGCTTTTTGAATTGATTTTAATTCAAATGGAATTTCTAATCAGTGAATATCCACTAAAAGAATCATGTCTTATAACTCTCCATCTCCAGTTCCTCCCTCCTCCCCCATCACATCTACCATGCTCCAGACCATTCAACTATGCCATTGACTCTAGATGATAAATGGGTATAAATATGCACTACCTCTCAGGTCTCATCTCTGGCATGTTTACAACATTATGAAATATTTCAGGTTCAGATCCTTGAGATATTCGCTGTCCTTTTCATCATACATCATTAAACTAGACATTAGCTGGAAGGTGAAAACTGTCCATTGCTGAATGACTATTGCTATTTTTTTTTATTCGAGAGACAATATTACTTCTGATTTATCATTTTAGAAGGAAACAGAATCTTTCTAGTTCCACTTTGCTCAGCTAATCAGGACAACTCTAACATTCTGGGTCTAGGAACCAATGTGGAAATTGTGCAAAATTACTCACTATGTCTTTTACTATAAAATTCAAAAATAGGTAAGTCTTTTGTTGTTGTTCAATAGTTCAGTTGTGTCCAACTCTTCATGACCCCATTTGGGGTTTTCTTGGCAAAGATACTGGGGTGGTTTGCCATTTCCTTCACCAGCTCATTTTATAGATGAGAAAACTGAGGCAAACTGGGTGAAGTGACTTGCCCAGGGTCACTTGGCTAATAAGTGTCTGAGACCAGATTTGAACTTATAAAGATGAATCTTTCTGACTTCAGGCCCAGTACTCTATCCAGTGCACCACCAGCTGCCCCTAGATGAGACTACTACAATGTGTAGTCTAGGGTTCATGGGTTCTAAGATGAGCTAAACTGTCACACTATTTCCTCAGCTACCTATCTCCTATTGGCTTCCCTGTGCCTGTTTTGGTCTACCAGAGTCAATATCTGTTTTGAATCAGTACCCTTAAACATTTGGTCATTTCCCTTGCACCAGTGTATGATAACACATGAAAATTGGGGAACACTCATTCATTCCCTTGCCAGGCTCTCAAACAAAGGTAATACAGGTTTTTAAATTAGCTATGAAATTTTCTGACCCCCTGGGAATACCCTAACTCCCCTCTTCTATGGGCTTTCTACCTATACAGATCTCGAAGCACATTTGTGGACTGTTCATCAGTTTTATCCTTAGGAATCTCATTGCTAGTTTAATTACTCTTTTGCACTGTATTTTCACTGGTTGGCCAGTGCCCAACTCCATCTAAATTCAAAGAAGCTAGATGGTCAATAATGGTAGATTTGGAAGGTTGTGGATTGAGTGGTGAAGGGGATTCCTACATCCTCAACTCACCTGGACTTCAAAGTCCTCCTCAATATGTCCTTTCCATATCTCAGTCTCAGTGATCTTCCCGATCATGAACCCAACTTTTCTTAGAGCACAGATGCCACCCCTGACACAGAGTTAGAGCCTGTTGTTCAGCAATTTAGTCTAATTTTTGGAGCCTTTCCAAGTACTCACGTAAAGTTACCTTCTTCAATCCATTTTGTCATCTCCAAACTACTCTGCAGACCATTCTCTGGGACACTTAATCCACTCTGTTGCAGAACTCCTGTCTTGGGGCTCAGCTGTGCTAAAAGATATGTTAGAGAACACAAACTTACATGGTTCACTATGGCTAACCAGCCCCAGACCCCAAGACCATGCTTCCACATTATCTTCAGCTATCTTCCCTGTCACCCATATGCATACATCTTCCACTATAACTTTTTATCTGAGAATTCTAATCAAATCAATACAAACATTGCTTCTAGAAAGAGCTGTCACCTATGGCTTCACTTACCATGCTTATGACTCCCTAAACCAAAATATCCACCCCTAGCCACAGCTATGTGTGTTGTGTCCCCCTATTAGAATATAAATTCCTTTATAACAAGGACTGTATTGCTTTTGCATTCTAATCAATCAATAAACACTTATTAAGCACCTACTATGTGCCAGGCCCCATGCTAAGTACTGGGGATGAAAAAGGAGGCAAAAGACAGTCCCTGCCCTCAAGGAACTTGAAATTTAATGGGAGAGACAACCTGTAAACAAATACATAAAGCAAGGAAATAATTAACAGAGGGAAGGTATTAAAATTAAGAAGGGCTGGGAAAAACTTCCTATAAAAATGAGATTTTAGTTGAGAGTTAAAAGAAGCCAGGAAAATCAGGAAATAGAGTTGAGGGAGAGGATGCCAGACATGGAAGACAGCTAGAGAAAATGTCCAGAGCCAAGAGGTGGAGCATCTTGTTCAGGGAACAGCCAAGAGACATGTGTATCCCCAGAGCTAAGCACAATACTTGGCACATAGTAAGTTTTTAATAAATGCTTTTCATTCATTCATTTACTCACTCACTCACTCGCTCTTCCCACTCAGTATGGTCCTGCCCTGGCTCTGGTTCCCACTGCTCTTTGATTAGAGTAGAAGCAATAGCCTACCCATGCCACAATCCCTAAATCCTTTTCCTTTTTCCAACATTATAGTCAACATCATGCTAGTACCTATCCATTTGTGCCAAGATCTTTTTCCCATGCAACTGTGATGGACTGGTTAATCAATTAATAAACAATTAATAAACAATCAATTAATCAATTAATCAATTAATCAACAAGTAGTTATCAAGCATCTGTTGCATGGCAGGCATTTTATTTTATTTTAGAAATCCCATTTCTTTGTACAAATTTGTCTCAGTTTATTAGCTTTCATTGAAGCTTCTCATATTTCTATCAAGTAGCAGGCTCATCTAATCTCAAAGCTTTTATCAGAGGCCACATATGTCTGTGTAAGAGAGAGTATATCCATGAAATGTGTAAATACATACATTTACACATAACTCACTTATTGTTAGTAAGCTATCAATAGTTTTGGAATTGATTTACCAAATACAAGGGGTGGGGAAGTAACTGGATTATTTTGAGAATAAGAATTTACATGTAAATGAAGAGAAATCTTCTGGTCTCACAAAACTTGTTTTTATTTGTTTTTTAAATGTTTTTTGGGACTAGGTCTCCCTGTTTCTCCTGGATTAGAAGTGTAGAGGCCATTCAAGGGCCTAATTCCAACACTGATTAGCAAAAAAACTTTCTATTTGTTACTTGTTTTTTAACATAGGCCAGTCTATCCCTGCTTATGCATAGTGAGTGGCCCTCTGCTCCCAGGGGTTGACCACTTTGATACTGAACTTAGCGGGGACTTCTGATTGACTTTAGCCCTATTGCAGCTCAGAACTCCAGAGCTTATGTGACCCACTATATCTTCAGCCTCCTTAGCAGAAGGGACTACCGGGATACACCACTGATCCTGGTTCAAAAGTAATTTTTAAAGATCCATATTCTGCCCATATCTAACACTTTTCTCCTTTCTGAATCCTATAACCTCTGCATATTTTCAGTTTATGTATTACAAAAACAATTGGTCCTCCACTGAATAGCTCATGTGGCCTAAAACATTCCTTTGTAACAAATTCACAACGTCTAGATTATAGAGTTTTGTGTTGCTGAAGATACATTTGTAGTGATGTGAAGATGGTCAGAAGTACCAGGAAAGTGTTTTCCGATTGGTTCTTAAGTACCTATTCCCATTGACTAAATAGGACTGGGATGGAATGAAAGACAGCCATGAAGAACCAATTAAGGGCCTTTCCATACACCACTTCTGGCCTTTCTTGACAGGTAAGCCACCAACAGTAGCTTATATCCAGCTGTTTCCATATTGTTTTTGCAGAGAAGGGAATAGAGTACTTTTCAGAAGAATCAGGAAAAACTCAAGCAGTTAAACCTGTCTCAACTTTTGTTGGTGCAGGTATTATAAGCAGCCAGGAGAGGGAAGATGAGACTTGCAGTGTCTTTTCAGAGTACTATGAACTCTGGGAGTACAAACAAAACCTATCACAAAACGTTCATGTATTTTGTCAGTAAACAAGTATGCAGCAGAGTAGACTGTTTGCATTTTAATTTAGCATGTCAGGATAGTAAAAAAAAAATAGCTGTTTCTGAAAAGTACCATAATTGTGCTCCTATGCTTCCTTTAACCATGAAAATTCTTGTCTCTGTTGAAATGTTGTGAATGAGTTGTTGAAATGAGTAAACTTGTGTAATGTCTGTGTCCCCACGTTGGCTTAGTGGTCACTCTAGGCAAGACGTGATAACCAGCATATTCGTACCAAAAGACCCTAGACCTCAGAAGCTTATGGGTGACTAGAGCTGTGTTCCATACAGTAATACACAGAAAAACATTTTTTTTTACCCAAAGCTGTTTAAAGGAGTTTTCAAACATGGTAACTTGGTATGTGAAAATGTTTTGCAGACTTTTTTTTTTTGCTCTTATAACAGACCAGCGTCTTGCACAGTAACCACATCCTCTCTCTTCAGCTGCTTCTTCTTTCCTGCCAGTCAATTACAACTCAAAGAGATGCTTTGAGAGTGAACTTAGGACAAGTGGCAAAGTGGAACCGATTCCAGTGACCCAGACCTGCCTCACTCTTTCTTTTTTTTCCTCTCTAAGAGAGCATGTTTATGTGAGTCTAACCACTTTTCCAAAGGAAAAGGAAAAATACAGTTCCCCTGATTTCTTCAGAGAAGTTTCTAAGACAGGAAATGTTCTCCAGGGATCAGATCTTTGACAGATCATTTTCTACAGCTCTAACATGTCAACTACTCCAGTGACTCACCAGTCATCAACCGGTGCAGAATGATTCACTTGAAATAAATGGGGATGACTACTTCTAAGCTGCATTATCTTGGATAGTCTTAGATTTAGAGCACACCTCCTTTCTAGGTTTTTGTACTGCAAAGAATGGCTGCTGTATATAGCTTCTCCTTTAAACTATACTCAACATATTTTTTTAAACTGAAAACAACAGAAATATTAACATAATGAAAATAGAAGAGGAGGAAGGAAACAGTCATCTGACTTCAAGTTAGGTAACTCATCTTAACATGAACAACAAAGAAGCTTGGCATTGTAGATAATCACATACGGGGATTTGGATTCAGGAAGAATTGGACAGGAAATTTACTAGCTGTATGACCCTGAGCAAGTCACAACCACTCAAGCCTCAGTTTCTCTGTCATAAAATAGGGATAATAAGATCTATAATACTTCTCTCACAAGGCTATGGCAAGGATCAACTGAAATAATATATGTAAACGGCTTTTAAAAAAAACTCGAAATTAAAAATATGGAAAAAATAAAAATAAAAAACTTAAAATGCTATATAAATGTCAATTATTATTAAAAAGAATCTATTTTATTTTTCCAAATGCTCATGTGAAAACAGAGCCAAGGCAGAAAGTGATAGGTTATGGGTCCAAGGTTGCATAGAATACTTACTTACAGCTAAGGAAACCCCCTCTACCAATGCAGATTAAAACATTCTGAAATGTAAAGTCTTGGAGAGTTACCTAGACCATTGAGAGGCTGCAAGTTGCCTAGAATCACAAAGCCATACTTGTTAGAGGCTTGACTTGAACCCAGATCTTCTTGACTTTCTGGCAGTTCTCTAGCCTTATATCACATTGACAAGTCAGAAAGCAAGAGGAATACTTTTTTTTTTGGTGAAGTAGTTGGGGTTAAGTGACTTGCCCAGAGTCACACAGCTGGTGATCATTATGTGTCTGAGGCTGGATTTGAACTCAGGTCCTCCTGACTCTAAGGCCTGTGCTCTATCCACTGTGCCACCTACCCGCCCCACACAGAATACTCCAGAACCTTTCATGGTATTCTTGAATTACTGGAAACAGATGCTATTCTACCATCATGAAAAGGCAATTGATTTTATATATACATATATATGTGTGTATGTGTGTGTGTGTATGTACATATGTATATACATACACACACACATATATATGTATTAATATTATATATATAATAAACTATTGACAAATCAATGTCCTGCAAACTTGTTGGGTGAGAGACAAATATTTGAGAGGGTCAGAAACTTCCCCCATCAAGATCATGCCAGTGGAAACACTCAATATACCCAAATTCAGCTGCTTTATATTCATGGCAGCCATGGCCCTTGGTTATTGAATAAAGATGAGTAATATTAGCAGAACCAGGAAAATGTTGTGCACAGTAACAGCCATGTTGGTGATGATTAACTTTGATAGACTTAGCTCTTTTCAGCAATGCAAGGATCTAAGACATCTCCAAAAGACTCATGATGGAAAATGCTATCCACATCTAGAGAAAGAACTACGGAGTTTGAATGCAGATTGAAGCATACTATTTCCTCTATTTTTTCCTTGTTTTGTTTTGTTTCTTCTTTCTTGTGGTTCCTCCTATTGGTTCTAATTCTTCTTTACAACATGACTAATGTGAAAATATGTATAATAGGAATGTATATAGAGAGTCTATATCAGATTGCATGCTGACTTAGGGAGAGATGCGTGGAGGGAGGGGGAGAAAATTTAAAACTCAAAAGCTTATAGAAGTGATTGTTGAAAACAAAAAATAATTAATTAATTTAAAACAAAGTAAATACATAAAAAATAAAGGTGGCTAATAGTTACAGTAACAACATAGCAACACCTACTTTTGTCCTATAAGCCCTCCTCTCCCTCAGTGAACTCTCTAGTGACTATTCAAATCACTCACAAATTGTAAGACTGATTACTATTTCCTCTTATGGTCATCCTCACCAGTCATCTAATCCCTTTCTTCTTCTTCTTCTTCTTCTTCTTCTTCTTCTTCTTCTTCTTCTTCTTCTTCTTCTTCTTCTTCTTCTTCTTCTTCTTCTTCTTCTTCTTCTTCTTCTTCTTCTTCTTCTCCTCCTTCTTCTTCTCTCTTCTTCTTCTTCTCTTCTTCTTCTTCTTCTTCCTTCTTCTTCTTCTTCTTCTTCTTCTTCTTCTTCTTCTTCTTCTTCTTCTTCTTCTTCTTCTTCTTCTTCCTCAGATCTTCTCATTGGCCATCCAAGCAAAAGCTGGCCAAGAGATCGAACAAGAAGTCACTGAGGCATAAGAGAGGATGAAACTCAGGATGATACCATTTTCAGGTTGAGAGGCACGTTAGAAATTATGGAGTTCCCCTCCATCATTTTAAACATAAGGAAATGGAGAGAGTTAAACAGCCTTGGGAAAGGATACATAGCTAGTTCAATTTCAGAACTAGAACTTGAACCCAGATCTCCTACCAGGGATGGGGAATCTGTAACCCATTGCTCTTTTTACCTCATCACCAGCTTCCACTTCTGCCTCCAGGTATTTTATGTCTTCAGCTAGGTTCTTTTTGGCCTCATTGAGTAAGACATCATGTGTCTTAGAAAGAAGAGAGATAGCTCACTGTCAAAGGCTAATCATTTAGTCAGCTTCAGGCCCAAGGAAGGGTATAGCAGTCTCTAAAAACATCAGAGGGCTGTTTCCTTATCCTTCTGCATCAAAACTGGGAAAAGGCATTTGAATAACCAAAGAAATTATGATTAATTCTCACCCAGGTGTGAGCATTCTTTCCATCAACACAGATTAAAAAAAAAAAAACAAGCTATGACTTAGATGCTGCCTGAGCCACATTCAAATAAAGTGACTAGCCAGGAAGGAGATAAATTCTAAGGAGTCACAGGCTCAGTGACTTGAAGGATTTGAACCCAGGTCTTTCTGACTCCACATTTAGCCATCTAATCTGCTAGCTATGCTGCCCGTAGGTTTTTAATCTTCACAGTTGACACGTTCAACTTGATTTACCACAAAATGAATTTTCTGGCATTAAAAATAAATATTTAATAGTCATCATTAAAAAGTGTCCCTTAATATACTGCTTATTATAATCTAGGCCGGGGGTGGGGAACCTTTGGCCTCGAGGCCACACGTGGCCTTCTAAGTCCTCAAGTGTGGCCTTTTTTGGCCACATGGCCTCAAGTTCACAGGTTCCCACCCCTGAAGTTGGGTGTTGCCCACCTGTCCTACACCTAGTCCTGGTTCTGCTACAAAGGAATAGATTTTTTTAAAAAACATTAATTCATTCAACTTGCGTTGATTAAGCCTCTACAATAACCTGCTGCTTGTTCTCTCTGCCTCAGGCCTCTCCCCACTCCAATCAATGATCAAAGTGACCTTCCTAAAGCACAGTTCTGACCCTGTTACCCCGCTGCTCAATAAACTCCAGTAGCTCCCTATCACCTCCAGAATTAAATATAAAATCGTGTTTCAAATTCAAAGCCCTTCAAAACCTGTCCCACCTACTTTTCCAGTCTTCTTATGCCCCCCCACACACACACACACTGATCTAGTGACACTGGTCTCCTTTCTATTCCTTGAACGAGAGACTCCATTTTTCAGCTCTGGGGATTTTCACTGACTTTCCCCCATGCCTGAAGTGCTCTCTCTTTATTGTTGCTCTCTTGGCTTCCCTGGCTTCCTTCAAGTCCCAGTTAAAATCCCATATTCTACAATCCCTCTTAATGCCAGTGTTTTCCCTCAGTTGATTATCTCCATGTTATCTTGAGTATAGCTCATTTGTACATAGCTGTTTACAAGTTTTTATTGTCTCCCCCATCAGACTCTGAGGTCCTTGAAGGCAAGAACTGTCTTTTTGCCTTTTTTTATCCTTAACACTTAGCACAGTGCCTGGCACATAGTAGGTACTTAATAAATTTTAGTGATTAAATACAAGACATTGCCAAATATTCACTTTGCCAAAATTTTAGAAGGCACTTCTATATAGCAAAGTAACATGAAAATCCTATTTTGGAAGAGGAACTTCTCAATTTCTTGACAGCATTGGAAACACTACTAATGCAGAGGACAGAGTTCAAGGTAGAGAGACCACCAACTGAGACTAGGCAGGATAGGATCCAAAGGGAACAACAACACAGGCTGCTTATATGACCCTAACTAAAAAGTTAACCACATTTCCTTGAGAAAGAGAAGAATAGCAGAGGTGAGTCATGGGTCTGATTTGAAGGAACCATGAGGAAATGGAAAAGTAACAGCTGACACTCAAAGATCTGAGGGAAAAAGAAAAAAAAAATTAAACAGCTAGCTAGGACAGAGCTTTGGCAAAGGTTGGGTTTCTTGAGAGAGAAGCAAGATCCATCCCAGGAGTCTTCTGTTAGAACAGATAAAGGAAAAATTAGTACTGACATGTGGAGAGTCAGGGAAGGAGAGAGATGGTAATAATTATATAGAAGAGGTATCTTCCATGAGAGCCCAACTGAGGAAAGTAAGAGGAAGAGTGTAGGCCCTGTAGAGAAGAACTGACAATCAGAGAGAAGAAGGAAGGCAAAGAAGGAGAGACCTATTAAACTAAGGCTGAAGAAGGGAAGGGGAATGGGGGAACAGGAGGAAGTGTGGGAGGCAAAGCTTTCATCAGCATGGATTGTAAGGGAGAGCCTGGATCAAGGTTTCAAACTGAAGACTACCTGTGTGGAAATAAGACAGACTGTGGTGACACTCTTAGCAAGACACACAGCCAGATTCTTTATCAAGACCCATCAACTGAGGAAGTTTCAGCTGGACTTGAATGTCAGCCAGCTTCCTGATGCCACTGGCTGGAATTTCTCCTTTTCCCATTTCAGTAATTATAGGAAGGGAAAGGCAGCATAGAGCAGCTCCCCCTGGGGGCATGAGCTCCGGAGTCCTTTAAGAAGCCTATAGAATGTAGCAGATTCAAAATCTCATTGTTGTGCTTGCTCTGACGTAGTTGCTGCATACACACCCTAACATTCAAAGACTTGGTCCTGGGGGAAGGCAGCTCCATGCTGGATCAGGTGCCTTGTTAGGAATAAGCTTTGGGATAAATGATGGTCATGGGAGTACAGGACGACAGGCAAGGGCTAATTATTTAGCTGAGGGATAGTGACCTAGGGTAGAATGACCCACTAGCTGACAGGGATGGGACAGCTGGATTGCAAACCCTTGTAGAAAGAACTCCAGGGAGGCAGCTAGTTTAGGAGATGAGATCTTAAAGGGCAGAGTCTGGGTCCCAAGAGGAAAAACACTATTCCAGGACCCTTGTATATATAAAGAGAGACCTAGGAACACAGTAGAATTACCGGCAAGAAAGCTGGAATACTTAAAAGGACATAGCTCATGTGATGATATGCTATTCAAAATTAAATACTAATTATAATAACTAACATGGACTGGGAAAAGATTTGGAAGAAAGCATCCTCCATATTTCATAGCAAAGGTGGGGGACTATGAGTTTGAAATATTACATGTACTGTCAGATAAGGGTGGTACGGGGTTTTTTTGTTTGTTTTTGTTGATTTTTTTTTCTTTTTAAAAATCTTTGTTACAAGGGATGACTGGCTGAGTAGAAGTGGGAAGTGAAATATCTGGAAATGAGTGTGATGTCAAAACAAAAAGGCATGTATAAAAAATAAAATATTTTTTAAAAAAAGAATGTATGTTATAATGATCAGCTGTGTAGAAGTCAAAAAGACAAACATTATAGACACTAACAAGGTTCCTTTTGGTTAAATGGCTACCACTTAAAAATCTGTGTGGGTGTTTCTCCCCCCCCATTTATTTGTTTCTTACCTTACTTGCCTGCAATAAGCTGTTGTTTTTGATCTTATCCAGGAGCCTAAGCAAACAGCCAGGAAGCAGATGTGACTACAACTTTCGCCTCTTCTACCTTCTAAAGCTTTGCAAATGTAAACTTCCTTTAAGAAAAGAGAAAGAAAGAAATCCTTGAGAAGGAGCTTTTTCTAAAGAAGGCTTAAAAATCTTAAATAAAAACGAAAGCTGGAATTTCTGAAGCTCTCCAAGTTTTCTAGTGGTTTTTTTTTCTATCTCTTCCTTTGTCTCTCCTGTCTTCACACTTGTTCTCCTGACCATCGCCAAAACTGGCTAGAATGCACCAAAGATTTGGAGCAGTGTGAGTAGTAAGGACAAGCTTAAATGGCTATGGCATTTGAAGCCAACTCTCAACTTCTCAGGAAGCTTCCTTCCTTCCTTTCCTCCCTCCCTCCCTCCCTCCTTCCTTTCTTCCTTCCTTCCCCCTTCCCCTCTATCATTTCCTTCTATCTCTACTTTAAAGGTTATGGGGGGGGGGAGCCCAGAGGTAAAGAAGGTGGAATCTAAGAGAGGTCAGGCCTTTCAGTGGATTCCATTGTTTTCCATTGTCTTCGGCCTCCCAACTCTACATCTATGCCTACCTGCTCCAATGTTCAAAAGGAGAAAACCCCAGCTGGAAACCCATAGGCTGCTTCCCAGCAGAAGCGAAGGGGTTAAGAGTTTAAAAACAGAGGCCACAGAGCAAAGCAGAAGTTAGGCCCAGCTGCGCCCCTCCCCCAGCCTGTCGGCCTCCCCTTTCCCTGCTGCAGTCCTTTCCTTTTCCACTGGAGAGCCCAGGCAGTACTGCTTTACTCAAGTGCCTCTTTCACCCACTGTGCTCCTGCCCCACTTGTGCGATGTAAAAAAAATCCTTTTGTTTCCTCTTTAAGACATCAGCCTCAGGGGCCATTATAGAAGAAGAAAGGTAGCCTGGGCTCTTTTATCCAAAAGAACCCATTAAAGGGTTTTCCTGTGTCCAGTTGATCTGCTCAGTTCTGTGCACTAAGAGGCCAACCCCGAAGGGACCCCACCACTGCCCAGGGAAGAAACACGAGTGCTTTGGGCCTTGCCTAGGCCTCCACCCCACCTAGGCACTTGGGGGCTTTGTCTGCAAAAGTCCACAAGGAGAAATTGGAACTGCCAATAAGCTACCAGCACAGTCATCCATTTTATCCTCTTTCTGTCCGTGCTGGTTTCTTTCCAGCTACCCCAAGAATAAACGAGGGATGTAGAAAACAGTGACAATCTGCACCCATCATGATAGTGCCTATATTCATGCATACTCAAGACACACCACAATTCCATCAAATCTAAAGACCAGGGAAATGGGCCCCACCCCCTCTACTAATTTACAAAAGCCTCCTAGCCCTTGAGAGTATTCTTGGACTGTGCCACTGAGTGTACAGAAGAATGAATGCAAACAGTTGCTCCACTGGGAAAGAATGTAAGAAATTGCCAAAGGTATGCTCTGTATGTATGTGAAGAGAGACGTAGATGGGAATGAATGATAGGTAAGATTCAGCTCTCCCATGATACAAGAACCTAGAGTTTTGTCAATTGGGGGACTAAAAGAGGGCCTTTTAAACTTCCTTAAGGAGCTAGTTTGCATAATACAGTCTGGGAAACATTGATGAAAGGAACTGGAGGTTTCATGTGACTCATCAGAAAGTAATCTAACACCGATTAATTATTTATGTCTTCCTCAAGAACTTGTAGCCCAAAATGCCCACTCTGCATGTGTGCTCTGCATTACCTTGTCTCCCTGTCAAAACAATAAGGAGAAGAAACACCAATAGGCTGAAAGCCCTGCCTGCTAGAGAGAGAGCTTCTTTGAATTCTAGGTCTGCAGGGGCAGAGGAAGGGGGAGGGGAGAAACAGTTTGGAGCCATGGTCAGGCTCTGGGAAAGCATGGAGGCTCAGGCTCTGCTCTGGGGTTGGTGTGAGCCTCCCAGCAAATGATTCAATGGGTGAGTGGGTGGGGGCTCGAGAAGGCTCTAATTTTCTAAATGCAGGTACTGCCTTTAGTGATGGGGAAGGGAGAAGGGAGGAAGGACATACTTTTATATGTCCAATCAGCAAAGAGTCCAAGAAAAAAAAAGGTCTCTAAAGGTTTCCTGTTATATCTATATAAAAGACAGTAGATGAAGTGTACATCTCTCTAGCTGGAATTCTCCAAAGAGTGGCTTTCTTTCAGATCTTCTGCTCTTTTACCATGAATATAAATATTTTCCCCACTTACCATATGTTGCCCATGCACTCCACAGAATTCATTGCCACAGTCATGCTGGGCTCTAGGCAAAAGGAAGGGAATGCCCTCCTCTCCCACAAGGGTAGGGAGGGGGGAGGAAGAGAGCAGTGTTGTCTAAGGGACAATGTCACTTTCCTCTTCCTCCAGATTCTTTGTCAATTGCTCGGGAAATAATTGACCTCAAGCTACTTCAGTCACAACCAATAGAAAAATGGAATAGTGATGTGTCCAGCTGTTCAAGGGAAGGAAGGCAAGCAGGCTGGAAAACAAAGGTAGTACGGAATAGAGCTGACATGAAAAATATTTCAAGCTTCATGTTGGAATTCTCGGACAATCCAGGAATTTCATTGTTAAAAACAACAACAACTGGGATTCTCTTCTTGAGCTGTAACTGCAAATTGTGCTACTTTACTTATGTCTTTGAGTAATTTAAAAGGGGAATCCCAACTCTGAAACCCTTGAATGAAGCTTTGTTTCTTTTTTTCAGCATTATAACCTTTTCCCTAGCAAGGGCTACATTTTCAATAGTCTATTTCCCAACACCCTCCAATGAATCAGCAGCAAGATGATTGAGGAGCTAAGGGGGTGGTTTTAAAACTTTAGGGAGCATTGCTTGAATTGTTGTTGTTTGTAGGCAGTTGGAGGAGATAAAGAATGAAAATGGACCTGAGAAGGGGGTGAGAGGTTTGTAAGAAGGAGGATGGGGTGGAGAAATACAAGAAAAGATATACAAAATTCTGTTTTCTTGGTAAGAAGATGGTATAATGGCTTGTTAAAACATATATTGGATTTCAGACCACAAGTTGTCCCATTTACTAAGCTGATCCTGCTTCAGGATGGACTAATCAAACAAAAATCAATACAGATATTTGATGCCACCAACATGGTAACAAGCAAGTACAATATCAAACAGGCCTCAAACACCCACCAGCTCTTAACCTACCACCAGAATGTAGAATATTGCTCTAAGACTGGGGAAGGAAACCATAGGAAAAATTCAGCTGCTGCAGAAGCAAAACAAGAGTTTCACCTGACCACATTTTCTCTTCCAACTTTGGGCTAAACTTAATCCTGTGAGCTAAGTGCTATCAAGCAGCCACAGCACACAAATGTATCTTACAGAACATAGGAGAGCCAAGCTTACAGCAAATTCATGTTCCAGATTTTCTGTACTGTTTGGTTTCGAAAAAAGAAAGTACAGCATATCCCAAAAAGTCGTAGTGTTGTTTTAGGCTTCAATACTTCAAACTGCACTAAGGCTTTTGGGTCACCCTGTATATTTTTATTGAGGTTTATTATCCTGAAGCTCAAGAAACTTCAGTGGCTCCCTATTGCCTCCCAAATAAAATACAAATTCCTCAGTTTGGCATTCAAAGCCATTCACGATCTACCTTTGCAGACAAAGAGTTCAAATTGCTTTACTTCACAAACTCTACATTCCACTCAACCTGGCCCATTGCTGCCTGGGAGACCAGCATTCCACACAAGCTATGCTACATATCTGGAATATATCTCTTAGAATAGTTGGCTTCCTTCGAGGCTCATCTCAGATGCCATCTCCAGTGAGGGAAGCCTTTTATGACCCCAGTACTTGTCAGTGCTCCTTTCCTACTCAAGTTATATTTATCTAATCTGTATAGATGTTGGGTCCTTTGAGTAGAACAAAAACTCCTTGAAGGGGAAGGGCATCCTCAGTAGTAAGTATAGTGCCTGTACTATTGCCACCAGTGGCATTCAATAAATGTTTCTTGAATTGAATGATTGTAGGATTTAGAGAATATCTATTCCAACCCTCCACCCTCCATTTCATAAGTGAGGAAACTTAAGTCTCAGAGTGGAAATAAAGATTATAAATAATAAAGCCAATAAGCAAGAAAGTAGTGATTTAACCTAGATCCTCTGACCAGTACTGAAGTCCAGCACTTTTTCTCTTTAAAAGGACTATCTATCCTTTGCAGTATGAATTCTTCAGAAAATATGGTCTTCCAAACCAAGAGAACTTTGTACACAATAACAGCCACGTTGTGTGATGACTAACATTGATAAACTTAACCCTTCTCAGCATTACAAGGATCTAAGACATCTCCAGAGGCCTCATGATGGAAAATGCTATCCACATCTAAAGAAAGAACTATGGAAGTTGAATCTATTATTTTTTTTCTCTTCTGTTGAGTTTTGTTTCCTCTTTCTGATGGTTCCTCCTATTGGTTTTAGTTTTTACTTACAACTTCACTAATGTGAAAATATGTTTAATAGGAATGTAAATGTATAGCCTATATCAGATTGTGCGCCATCTTGGGGAGGGTGGGGGGGGAAGGGGGAGAAAAATTTTAAACTCAAAAGCATATGGAAGTGATTGTTGATAAATCAAAATAAATTAATAAAATTTAAAAGTAAATAAATAAATAAATAAAAAGAAAATACGGTCTTCCAGCCTAGAGCATGAAGTTTATGGGAATTATGTCACAAGGATATAATCTCTGTAGAAGGTTTTCAAGTACATAAAGGCAGCTGGTGGTATAGTAGATAAAGCTCTAGTCCTGGAGAAAAGAAAACCTAAATTCAAATCTGACCTCAGACACTCGATGTATGATGCTAATTGTTTAGGTATTTCAGTAGTGTCTGACTCTTCACGACCCCATTTGGGACTTTCTTGGCAAAGATACTGGAATGGTTTGCCATTTCCGTCTCCAGTTCATTCTACAGATGAGAAACTGAGGTAAACAGGTTTAAGTGAGTGAAGGGTTCAGTACATGTCTGAAGCTGGATTTGAACTCAGGAAGACTCATCTTCCTGACTCCAGGCCTGGCACTTTGTCCACTTTACCTGATAGCTGGATAAGTCACTTAACCTCTGTTTTTCTCAGTTTCCTCAGCTGTAAAATAAAGGTCATAATAGCACCTGTTTTACAAGATTGCGGTGAGGATCAAGTGACATATTTGTAAAGCACTTAACACAGCACCCCAGGGCACATAATAATAAATGCCTGTTTCCTTCCTATGACAGCTTTGGAACTCCCCCCATTACATACCCTGCTACCCAGGTAAGAACAACAGTCCCAACACACTGGTGTCTCCATCAGCCCTCACAAGTTTCTCCTTGGAATTGTGAGGAGTATGTAAGAGAGGTAGAAAGCACCACGTAGAAGCATATTAAAAATTACCTTTTAAGTTCAACTGAAAATATTAAGAAATAAACATTTCTCTAGTCTACAGTCCTTTCCAGACTGTTTTCCTTTAGGAACCTATGTAAAATGTCAAACAAAAATTAAGATCTTTGAGAACTGAATTAAAAGTGGTAACAAAATTTAAAACAAAAATGCCTCTTGTCTAATTAAGATTGTTGCTTTCCACCTTCCCTGAAAGGAAGAAAGTTAAGACTTGCTTAAAGGCAATACCTTCTTTGCCCTTACCAAAGGGATTAGTGTATAGATCACCTGGAGTTCCCTTTGATTACCAAGAAACACTTGAAGAAGTGGTCCAGAAAAGATGGAATAATTTTAGAAGACTAAAGGGCTTGTTTTATTAGGTGGAGTAGAAAGTTAAACCAAAATTGTAGTTACTATTTCTTTTAGGGGTCCTAAAGTTGCCATTTCTGGCTTCCCTTTCTTTACTCTGGCCATTTCCTATGGGTAAAATGTTTTCCGTTCAATTTAATTCAGCAAACATGTATCAAGTACCTACTGGAGATATGAACAAAACTGTAACCGTTCTTGCTTTATAGGGATATCCAGCTACAAGAAGGATGCAACATATATATATATATATATGTACATATAACTACATATAAGTACATATAACTACATATAAGTACATATAACTACATATAAGTACATATAACTACATATAAGTACATATAACTACATATAAGTACATAATAACATAGTTATTAAGTAGGTAAATATAAATCATATACAATGTAATATGAAATGGGAGAAAGTTCCAATGACTGGGAGGTAGGGGAGTGAAGGTGGTTAAGAAAGGGCTCAGCCATCTCATTGCCATTTTGCTGAAATCCTAGCCAGTTTTTGAAGGCTGAGCTCAAACATCACTTCCTCCATGAAGCCTGCCCTGATGCCTCATGGTAAGAAAGTCCCAACCCCTCTTCCCACAGACCCCACTGTGGTTTACATTTCTTAGAGCCCTTTACCTTTCGGGCCCCTTTGGCCTTTATCATTTTGATTCATACTTACTCACATACCAATTATTTCCCCCTATAAGGCTGTGAACTCTATGAAGGCAGCTTCTATGTTTTACTTAATCATCATACCTGTTTCTAGGACAGTGTTCTGTATATAATAGATGTTTTTAAAAATGATTTTTGAAATTATTTTAGTTGGAGACAGTATAGTACCTGAAAAGAACAATGGCCTTGGAATCGGAGAACCTCTGTTCAAATCCTGCTTCTGATGTGTACTCCCTGGGTGACCTGGGCTCAGTCACTTAGCCTCACTTTCTTAGATCTAAAATGGGGGGAACTAACTGGACTCTGGGGTTCCTTCCTATGATCCTAAATTGGCATAATGGAAAAAAGTCCTGGGATGAGTCAGAGACCAAATTTTGACAAGACTCTGCCATCAGCTAAGTGATCTTAGAGTCAATTGCGTGATTGCTCTCTACCTCAATTTTCTCAACTGTTTAAAAAAAATCTATTGTATTAGATGATTTCTCAGGTTCCCTTTTAGCTCTAACTTCTGATGCTATAAATTAGGAATATATTCAAGGAATCTAGAAAAAGCAATCCAGTAAAGTCACAGAAAATTCTGGGTAGAATTAATGAGTAGTAATAACTGACATTTATATAGCACTTACGGTGTTCCAAGTATTATGCTAAGTGCTTTATGATTATTATTTCATTTGATTCTCATAACAAACCTGAGAGATAGGTGATATTATTCACACAATTTTGCAGATGAGCTAAGGCAGACAAAGAGTAAGTGACTTGAGCTGAATCACACAGCAAGGAAATATCAAAGGCTGGATTCGAACTCAGATCTTCCTATCTCCAGGCCTTGTACTCTATCCACTGTACCATCTAGCTACAG